CTGTAACCTTGCTAAAATCATTAATTCCTGTAGCTTTTTCGTTAATTCCCTAAGATTTTAGAATTAGCCTGCCTGACAAATAATGACAGTTTTACCTCATTTCTAATCGGTATATATTTTTAATTTTGGAGAAAATCCCCTCCCACATGTAAAATCATGGAGAGTCAAGCATAAAAAGGTCCTAAACACTAGGCTCTCCCCAGTGCCTGAGGACAAAAGTTTTAAAGCACGAGTATGATTTCGTAAAGGAAATCACATTTCAGAGAAACTAAAATGAATATTATCTTGGAGCAACTTCAAAATGCCCGTGACCCACTGCTCCCTGGCTAGGCCTGGCAGGTCAAACCACCGCCTGGGAGCCATGACAGAGGGACAATGACACCATCGCACGCCTGTCCCAGCCCCTCGTCCAACGTGGTATTTCACTGGCTCCCGTGTCGATTCTTCTGGGCCCATTATTGGCCTCAATGGACCAATGAAAAGAATGAGGGTGCCTCAAGCAATAAACTGAATTGATAAATCAATAACATAGCTCCACGATTTCCTTGACCAGGGCAATGCGTTACACTTTGCCTGGACTGCCCAGCTCCGTACTCACTCAAGGTTAGGAACTGAGGTTCCTTTCGGCATATCTGAACCACTTGGGAGGCTTCCAATTTCCCCTGCTTTTGCCAGAAAACTGCTAAACTTCCAATAAGCACGCCGTCAGTCACCCAATATTCCCAGACTCCCAACTTCTGACTGGAGGAGTCCTTACTAATTTTAGATCCCAGGATGCCTTCTGTGAGCAATTAGCCCTGCAGAGGCTCCGCCCCGTCCTGCTTAGACACCTCACACAGCAAACAAACACGGCTATCAACAGTCTGGGGCTGGACCTGAAAAGCAGTCAGGCCAAGCCAACAGGACCACGTCTCCACTTAGTAAATACGTTGATTGGAGAACCTTCCAGAGTTGTGAGCGAAGAGATGGCAGAAACAACAGAAAAGTCTCTGACAAAGACAGAGCGACTCAGAGACAGAGGCAGACGGAGAAAGATGCCCAGA